AGATTCACTAATATAACATGAAACGTATTAGATCGATAAAGATATTACACATATATATATATATATATATATATATATAAACTAATCCGATAATTCGATCGCATTACTTTACATACATTTCATGGTTGGCAAAGGCGCTTAGCTTAGTATTACCACCAAAACCATTAAACGGCTTTGGTCAACGCGATTTACTTTCTTTCGGTACATTGACATATACATGAGTCTTGTATTATACCAATTGAAATGGTTCATGGACAGTTCACGTAACATAGTCATGAGAGAGCTTTCCCGGTTCAAGGAAATGTTGCGACTACGCCCTCGTGCTTTTACCTGTCGGCTTTATCAGTTCCATCGGTTTCCGACAAATCATTCCTTCAGTCCAAGGTGAACTATAGCCGTGAGTCAAACAAATTCCCTATGACGAGACAGTGGGAAATTATTACTCAGTAAAATTTATTCATACATCTGTAAACAAAAACATGAATAAATAATTAATATAATGTAATAATAAAAATTATTAAATAATATATACACACTACATATTATTATATATATATATATATATATATATATATATATATATATATATAGATTTTATAATAAGATAATTAATATAAATACAAATCTATAAAGATTGCATACGTATTGAAATAAAAACAAATCATAAGTACAATATATCATAATAAAGTAAATAAGTAACAAGATATTTTAATTATCTCCATCTCTATCTCCCTTCCTCTCTCTTTCTCTCTTTCGTTCTCTTGTTTTTTAATACACATACATACATACATACGCATACACACATACACAAAACACAAACACACGCCCCTGAATATCACAAATACACGCCTCCACGCAATGAGAGATCGATGTAACCCCGTTTCAGGTTGAGTAACTTCGATGCAGCCGGCCTTTTATTACATTCCTCACGTCCCAGATTGGGGAAAAAGAAAGAGAAAGATACAAACAAGAGAAAAAGAGAAAAAGAGAGAAAGAGAGAGATATACTACTACTACTACTAACACTACTACTACTACTACTACTACTACTACCTGATACCAGTATTTTGTATTTATACGGTCGCATCTCGATACAAGAAGAGAACCGACAATTATCCTCTTCTTCTTATCCCCTCCTTTCAGCATCTCTCAACCCCTCAATCCTCTCATCGCCCAAACACTTGTGCTTCGAGGAGGTACAATCGGTCAATTTGTGTTCGTTAATAAAGCAGAGAGGGCTTTGTGAAACGGCCACGCGCTCAAGCTCGCGCCAGCCCCTTCTTTGAGTCTCTCGTTTACGATGACTTCGTTAATAAGGAGTGGCGCATCCATCGATCGTTGTCCATTACTCCGAAAGATCATCGTGTCAAACGACTCTACTCTATACAACTCGACTCGACTCGACTCGACCTTTACTACGTAATTGCGTTATTGCCATGAGCAAAATATCTCTTATATGGACCGGTTATTTTAAGTAAAAAAATATATTGCGCTTATAGCAGAGATTTTTTTTTTCTTTTTTCTTTTTTCTTTTTTCTCCTTTTTTTTTTTTTTTTTTTTTTTTTTTTTTTTTTTTTTTTAGGAAGAATTATGAGAGAAATTATATTTATTAATAAGACGGTATGAAAGGATCTTTCAGATTCTTATCTTTGATATCTTGTTCAATATTAATTTTATAGTTCACTCCGTTTGATTCCTTTGATAAGTTAAGAACTTTTTTTTATGTAATATTTATTAAATATGATAAATATTTGATAATTATTCTAGATCTATATGTATCTGTGTGTGTGTGTGTGTGTGTGTAAATAATTCATTTTGAATAATCAACAATTTATGTTATATGTATATAAAAACCAATGAAAATGATCGAAACTTTAAATTGTATTCCATTAATTCGACAATATTTTTTGAGACATTTGGGGTTGTATTATTTATGAACCATTTTTCTATAACAACGAATAGAAAAAGTAAGTGCATACACATATATTTATTCTTGAAGAAAATAATTCTCTTTTACGTGATTTGAAATGGTTAAGAATAGCGTATAAGATAAAATATGTCTTTTAATATATGAAATGATTTATTGTTAGAACATATTCTAAATTATCCGCTCATATATAATTTTGTATCTATCAAATAAAGTGAAATTTGTAATTTGTTTATTATTCATTTAGAGATTAATTGTTTGATTTTTATGTAAGTTTAAAAGATACGTATATTGATTTGCATTTAAAAGTGATAAATATTTTCTAATTATATTGAATATAAATTATTCATTTATAGTAATTATTAATTCATGTTACATGCTTGTAATTTCATTCTACTGTAAATTATAAGATGCATACATGTACATGACATCTAATAATTATTCTAAATTAAAAATATTTAATAATTATTGTACATATGAACAATTACATTAAATATAAATAATTTATTTAAAATAATTATGTACAAATATATATATATATATATATATATATATATATATACATGTATATATCTGTACATAATTGATTAGATCATGCTTATAATTAAATATTAATTTAAATTATAATTATCATAACATATTATTAAGAAAATTATATTATTAAGAAAAAGATATTAATACTATGAAGTATTTATGTAACATAAAACTTATAATTTATAAAAAGTATAAATATATTATATCAAGTATAATTTATATTTATTTAAAAAACATTAATTTTCATTTTAATAATTTAATTTTTTTCATAGAAAAATTAAATTAAATATAAAAGAATCTAGATATATATATATATATTATATATATAAACGTGTCGTTTTGAAAAGTTACATGCCGTTAATGAAATTTAATAAGTCACAATCCTTAGTTCCACATAATCAAATACAACAAACTGTTTCCCAATAACAATATCAATATTAATAATAATAATAGTAATAAAAATAATAATATCATAAAAAATATATTTATATTACCTAATAATATTCAATTGCATTCTATTTTCAAATATATTCCCTTGATTTCACGATGATAATATATATTTCTATGATTCAACGTTCAGACCTATTATAAGAAAATAAATTAAATTCATTACTATAGAAATAATCGAAAAGAAGAAGACAAAGAAAAAGAAAGGGGAGAGGGGCGGGGAAAAGCACGACGAAAAAAAAAAGAAAAGGAATGAAGAAAAAAAAAACCAAGAGAAAAAAACGAAATGATAGAATGAAATGATGGAGATCGTTTCGGAGTTGAATTTTTCTCACGCGTGCGTGCAAAAAAGAAGAAAAAAAAAAGAAAGAAAAAAAACCAAGGGGCTTGAAAATTTAGAGGTTATACAATATATCGTTCGATATTAGATAAGTTTTAGTTTCCGAGGATCTACGGGTCTTCTCGGAAGTCGATGCGTTTTCAATTACTCGCGAAACCACGCATGCACGTGGCTTGTAAAGCTTCCCCCGACTTAAGTGCCTTTCGTGCCGACACGCGGCCCTACGCAACGATTCATTACAAGCTTTTATTTTTATTATATGCGTCGTCGTCGTCGTCGTCGTCGTCGTTATACTCGTCATCATCATTATCGTCTTATTATATTACATAACGTCTCTGCACTCATAATTAATTTTTTAAATATCATTTTTTTTATTTTCTATTAATTGAAAAAATATATGTATCATTGATTTCGAAATTATATCAATTATTTTATAAATTTCTTTATATATGCGTATATATACATAGGATGTCAGATGTTAATGGATTCAATATATCGAATGAAAAAATTAATTTCATAATTATTGTCATTATAATAAAATGATGACCTTTCTATTACGTGTATATATTATAAATTGATTTTTCGATATTTTATTATGCAAATTTCTTTTTTACGTATAAAGAATATATCTGATTTCAAAACGATGTAAACAATGTTTATTGTTTGTATCGTTTTAAAAATTCAATTTTCTAATTATTTATGAAAAAATTTTATATATATATATAAAATGTCTATTCTATTTAATAAAATCCTATCTTTTCGAAATGTTCGAGAATTTTTTCCATATACAGATTATTATTATTATTATTATTATTCAAATCTAATCTATTTAATCTAATATGTATGATTGCGATGAATTCAAATTTAGACATCCTGTATATCCCTTATGTAACTATTTATTTTCGTTAGAAAAAAAAAAAATAAATAAATAAATAAATAAATAAAAAATAAAAAATAAAAAATAAAAATAAATCATTTTTACTTTGTTCCGTCCTCTTCTTCTTTTTCTTCCATGTTTTCCTTTTTTCTTCTTTCTCTTTTTTCTTCTACTCCTTCTGAGAAAATTCCGGTATCCACTTCTAACTTTTCAAACTTTCCGAACGAACCTTTCTCGTGTCTTGAAATTCGAGAAGAACGTATTAGAGAGAGAAAAAAAAAAAGAAAAAAGGAAGGAAGGAAAAAGGTCAAATGTAATCTGATAATAGATTCTAATAATCTTATCTAACATACTTAAATCATTAGGAAAAGTGGATCGATGATATATCCTAGAGGATTCAAGATATATTAACTGCGAAAATTGATTAACGTTCGATTTACATTTTTACGCCATTTTTAATTTTTCGTAATGGTCGTTTGAGGCAATAAAAGAAAAGAGGCGAAAAAAAAAAAGGAAGGTCAATATTTTTTTCTTTTTCCTTTTTTTTTTTGCCATACGTTTCCAACGAAATAAAAATTCAAATATTATACTTACGAACGATTGAAAACTCGATGATTTCTTTAACACATTTTTCTGTCCTTACGTTCTATGGAAAAAGAAATCCAAAAATTTCGTGGGATTATTTGAAAACTGCTTCGAGTCGTCGAAGAAATGAAGGATCGAAAACAAAAGACGATCAATGATTTAGAAAATTCTCCTCAGATGGCGTTCACTACCGTCTCCCGACTATCTAATTGATTCGTGAAAGTCAATCTTACCAATTAAATCCAAACAAAGATGATTTAACCAATCAAAAAGAAACATTGCCGAAAAGAAATGAAATATTATTATAACTCGCATAAAAACATATGTCTCGTGATAATATTTTTAACGAAATTTTATCAAGTATTAAAATCTATTAACGTAGTATTGTATCTTGACCTCAGATACTTTCTTCGCGTATTCCGTAAGAACGCGTAAAATCTGACGCAAATATTATTGGAAAATATATTTATCCAACTCTTGGATATATGTGTGAATAAGTATTTATTAAGATAAAACGTGTAGGAGAGAGAGAGAGAGAGAGAGAGAGAGAGAGAGAGAAAAGAAAAGAAAAGAAAAAGAAAATTTTTCTTCGCTAGTTTGATCGATCGATGCATTTGAAAAAAAAAAATTGAAATTACGTGTTAAATTATCTTCGTTTCAACATACAATAAGGTTAGTTCGAAACTTTGATTTTCGTATCGAACGAATTTTCGCGGGAATATGAGGATCGTTGGAAACGATCGTGAAAAATATCGTTTAATAAAAGGAGGAGGAAGAAGAAGAAGAAGAAGAAGAAACAAAGAAAAAAAAAATGAAATGTCTCGTCAAATATTCTTCATTTCGACGTACAATACGAATCTTCTGTGTTTTCTTGGAAACAAATTTTTACGTGAAAAATTAAAATCTTAAGAATACTACTCGCGTACGAGTTAATGCGTAATAGAAAAAAAAAACAGAAAAAAGAGAGGAAAAAAAAAGGAAAAAAAGAAAGGAGAAGAAGAAGAAGATAAAGAAAAAAGAAAAAAACCACAGCAAAAGAAGAAGAAAAAAGATTCCATTGTCCGAACTACGAGGAAAACGATAAAAAGAGACGACTCTCGATTTGTTACGACAGAGTCCTCCTGTGGTCGTGACAAGCTTTCAATTTATCTAGGTAATACATTGAATAGGTGTAGAGCACAGTAGGTAGAGATGGTTACGGTTTATTGTGAAAAGTTTCTAACGGTAATATTGTAGAACGACATATATATCGGGTTCTATGTATATATTACCTTACCATGGACACTTACATACACAGGACAGATACATGTATACACACTAAACCATGACGACTTTTATCGAAACGTTTGAAAGAGCCGCTCCCTCGTTCGTTAAACAAGTGAACGTCAAAATCTTTGTTTAACGTTCTACACGAGATACTTGTCGGGAAAACGTACGAAAGAAATTCCAAGCAATTCATTTCTAAAGATTTTATTCTTACTTTTGTCTAAATACTTTCTCTCTCTCTCTCTCTCTCTCTCTCTCTCTCTCTTTCTCTCTTTCTCTCTTTCTTTCTTTCTCTATCTCTTTCTTTTTCTCTCCCTCTTTCTCTCTTTCTTTCTCTCTCTTATTCGAAGAAACGACAGAGAATAAATAATCACTTGACTTCCTTTTATTGTTGACTTCTATTGGCAAAATATATATATATATATTATACAATTTTATTTGAACATTTAATTTCCTTTGAAAATTTTATTATAATTCTTCGTTAAAAAAATGACAGAGAATATAAATATGATTGCACACTTGATTACTGTTATCGTCATTTGTTTACGGTTGATAATAAATATCTCGCAATTTAAAAAGATGTTATTACTTTAAGTAATATATTTAATTATAATTTTTTTTTTTTTTTTTATAATAAAATTATGTAATCATTGACGTATTTTTGTTAAGAAGAAGAGGAAAAAAAAAAGAAAAGAAAAAAACGATATCTTTAAATTGAATTTTTTTTCATTAATCGTTTTCAAAATGAATTTCGTCGAATCGCGCCAAAACTCTGCGAATTCGTACGAATTTAAACGAACTCAAAGTCACTCGATTTTTTGACTTATTTATTTCGTTTAAAAAATTATTTGATCATCGACGTATTTTTCAAAAAAAAAAAAAAAAAAAAAAAAAAAAAAAAAAAAAAAAAAAAAATGTATTTAAGGTTACAATTAACGATCCTTCCATCGGTCGATTGGATTCATCAGTCTCAACGAGTTTCACTTGAATCGGTTGAAACTTTCCCGCGAATTTCATCGAATCGTTGTAACTTTACCGCGAATTCAAATGAATTTAAACGAACTCCCACGAACAGTACGTTCGTAGTAATAATTTTATTCGAGGTGAGTCAATCCACACGAAAATTACTCATCTAATTGAACTTTAGTATCGCTATGATCTTGAATGATTAATTCTGTGGCCTTTAACGAACCATAATCAACTCATTTTCTCGAAAAATTTCAAATAAAAACAGAAAAGTAAAAAAGTAGGTCATCACGATAAACTTAAATTTACATATACATATACATATATATATGTAAATTTTATTTTTTACATTATGATTATTAAATGACGATATATATATATATATATACATATACATATATATATCTATGTTATTTACGCTTAAATAAGATCCGAGCTGTAAACATTAAAAGCAAAAATATATGAATATATGTACAAAAACAAAAACAAAAAGAAAAAGAATAAGAAATAGAATAATTCATTAAGTGTAGCCCATGTCATTCTATTTTTCAATTATTCTCCGATTCACCATTCTAACGTCCCAGGAATATATTTGTCGATCAATTTCTCATAATAAGGCCATAATTTCTCAATATCCGGTACGCCGGCACTTTTTGTGTATAAATCGTATTTACTGTGAAATAAAATGAAAAATTATTTTATTTACAGGGAAAGAAAAGCGTTGTGCGTGATTTAGGAGGGGGAAAGAAAAACAAAAAAAGAAAAAGAAGAGAAAAATCACTTACTTGAATTCAATGATCCATTTCAATTTATCCAAATCGTTCTGTGTGCAAAAGTACATGTAATCACCACCAGCGTGCCAGGGGTAAAACGAATGATAACGAATCATAGCAAGTGCTTCCTTAGGTAATTTACAATTATTATGAACCATAACACGATAAAGATATTCGTCATGACCCCAGGACATCATTAAATTGTCTATACCACATTGAGGTTTGTATATTCCATATTTTGTACTATAACATATATATATATATATATATATATATATATATATACATATCATTAATATTAAATATGTATATAGATTTTTTGTTTTTTATTATTTATAATTTTCGATAATTCATACTTGTAACGAGAATCTTTGCCATCAGGATTATTTTCAAAACTTGTGTCCCTATAGACTATGGAATCAGCCCATGCACAACCAACAGGAAATGTATCACCCACAACAGCCCATTGTGGTTCCCCATAGAACGCCATAATCTAAAATATTTATTAATGAACAATCATTAACAAACACATGACTTTGTTTTCTTTTTTTATATCTTTTTTTTTTCTTCTTTTATTTATTTATTTTTCTTTTTTCTTTCTTTCTTTTTTTCTTTTTCTTTTTTTATTTTTTCTTGTAATTAGGGTAAAATAGGGTAAAATAGGGTAGGTCAATAAAAAAATCTTTGAATATATAATGTACCTTTCCTAGATCATGTATCAGTCCAGTTAAATGGAACCAATCTAAATCAGGATGATCTTTTCTTATAGATTCGGCCGTTTGAAAAGCATGAACGATATTCGGTAAATTTGTGTCTGGATCGCTTTCATCGATTAGATCATTTAATTTGATAAGAGCATCTTTAATCGTCAATCTGGCTTTGTTGAATTGTAGCCATTCTTTCATACGAGCTAATAAATTTGGATTCAAGTATTAAAAGCTGATAATATATGAAAAACGTATGTATGTTATTGTTTATTATGCTTCGATTAATATCTCTCTTGTTATATGATAGAATTATAAATGATTTATATGAATGTATATTAAATCAATATTATTTTCTTTTAGGATTTGATATTATTCAAGATAATAGATCAATGATCTAGAAAATTAATTTTAAACGATCGAGTACGAATTCGATCATTTTAATTGTTGTAATAATAAGTATATTTTTGAGAGGATGCTTGAAAAATTGCTCGAAAGAAGATTGTGGTAGATTTTACGTCATTGGTTAAGGGTTAATTCGCGATCGATTAAAGAAAATAAGGAAAATGTCGATCTTGAGAAATGATGATTAATTTAAATGATCTGTAATATGACATATGTATATATCAATGTCAATAATAGATTACATTATCTCTATCATTCTATAGATTATTATTAACAATCTATATATGTATATGTATGTATACATTTTAATTAAATTAATATTATACACACACACACACACACACACATATATATATATATTTTATTAATAATAAAAAATGACATTCTCTCAATCTATTATTGTAGAATATTATATATATTTATATATGTATGTATTGTAATAATGTATATTATATATATAATATATATAAATATATAAAATATATTATTTTGATTATTAATAATAATATTCTATCGCAATCTGTTATTATATATATTAATGATCTATATATAATATAGATATATAATTTAATATATATCATAGAAATATATAATATAATGTAGATATATAAGATTTATATAAAATTTAGATATGATCTATAAACATATAATCTATATTATATAAAGAGAAAGCAAGAGAGGGAGAGAGAAAAAAGTTAGATAGAGAGAGAAAAAAGTTAGAGAGAGAGAGAGAGAGAAAGAAAGAAAGAGAGAGAGATCATTAATAACAACAGATTACTATTGATAAAAAAAAAATATATATATAAATCGTTTAAGTTGTCATACGTAAGTATGTATAGATCATTTACGTTGATACGTATATATATGTATGTCATATTACGAGTCTGTTTATATACAACAAGTGCGATAATCGATATGTCATAATATACTAACAACGCACAAACTCGACCGTTTGATTAGTATGCATGTTCTCGTAAGTCTTGCGTACACGTTCCTTGATCTCATCTGTTGGATCTATGATATAGTTTCTAAAATTACTTTTCAATTTTCCATCGTATACTGGTTCAGGTCGAAGCTTTTCCGAGGGATCAATAATCGAAGTAACCTGGTCACGTAACTGCAAATGATCATTTTTATATATATTCCAAATTTTTTTTTTTTTTTTTTTTTTTTTTTTTTTTTTTTTTTTTTTTTTTTTTTTTTAAATAATATTAATTACAATACACTATATCAGTTTGATATATCGAATTTTCTTTCATGCATTTATTTTCATTTGATCATATTTCTTAAAATTCATTTATAATATTTTCTCTATGACATTAACTCGTCAGATCGGTTTCTCACAAAATTATTTTTCTTTCTACAATCAAAGAGACTATAAATAAACTGAATTATAAATTATTTTAAACGATTGATATAATAAGAATTACGATTGATATTAAAAATCTTTTACAAAACAGAAAAAAAAAAAACAGAAAAAGGAAAATAAAAAAAGAACAAAAAACTTTTCATTCATTTTGTATATAATAGAATATAGATAATATCTGATCACATAAGTCTCTATCATATTGATTAAATAAATATAATATAATTGACAGATTTAAAAAGCTGGTCGAACATTTTCTTTTTTTCAAAATGTCAAAATAATACAGAACATATTAGTCAATTACAACAAATATATATAGGTAAAATAAAAAAAAAATATATATATATGTAGATATATAGAAAAATGGAGTTATTATATTAATTAAATATATATAATAATTAATATTAATGTATATATACATATATATATATATATATATATATATATATATAAATAATAATAATATAATAATAATAATTAACAGATTTGTAAGAAGTTAATCAATCTATTCTTTTTTCTTTTTTTTTTAATTTTTGACACGATATAACAAATATTTCAATTAAGAAAGAAAATTAATAAAAAGAAATGTATAAATAACATATATACATGAATAAGTATATATATATAAATGAAGGATATATGTTAAAATTAGAAAATACCTGTAATTCGCAACGGTGTAAAAGGTGACAAATTTTGCAAAAAAACAAAAAAGATAATTTAAAAAATACGTATATATATATATATGTATATAAATATATATATATTTATATATATATTTAATTCATACTTACCATCATTTTGGCGGACATATTGAAAAATGTTTTCTTATGAAATAACTTGGATCCTTGATATGTTTGCTCTTTGGATATACAACACTGACTGACCCGTTCAATCTAACAGAGTTAACTTATAAATCTCAGACAATTCCCCCCTTTGACCCTAGGTTGTTCAACGTATGGTCTCTCTCGCACGCACGTTATTTAATATCCGTTATCTCTTACCAATACAGAGAAATATAAATAGCAACAAAGGATACAAAGTATTAGTAATACATAAGATTTTATGAAAAAAAATTTTTTTTTCTTTTATTGAAAGTAAAAATGAACGAAGACTTTGAATCACTATTTTCATATCATTGCGAATGAAAGGGAGCAATTAAAAGGATGAGAGAAAGAGAGAGAGAGAGAAAGAGTGGGGATAAAAAAGAAAAGAATCGTAAATAAAATTATAATTTAATCAAATGATATTATTAAATGACCGTGAACTCATGAATAGTATCTTTGTCAACAGAAAAAATTCTCTTCCTGGAACCCCCATGTTAATGAAGAAATTTATATGTGACAATAATAATAATAATAATAATAATAATAATAATAATAATAATAATAATAATAATAATAATAATAAAATAATAATAATAATAATAACAACAACAACAACTCGCTACTTGATGAAAGAAGTAACTCTTTCTTTACCAATGAATACAATGATAAAAAAAGAAAGAAAAATAAAAGTAATAAGAAATAAGTAAACACACGTTTCATTGTAAATCAAAACAGTGAACATTTTCAAATTGTCCAATAATCAAATTAACAAACCATTAAAATAAATGACGCTTAAAATCTCATTGATGAATTCTACAGATGAGTATGTGAATAAAAAAAAAAAAAAAAGAAAAGAAAAAAGAAATAAATAAAAAAAAATAAAAAAGGGGCGAGGGGAGAGGAGGGAAAAATATTAACATGTTCTATTTCGTTGAATGTTAAAACATATCAATCAAAAGACTTAGGGTCTTGAATTTTCTTGATCATTCCTAAAATAGTTCGATCGAGTCTTTCATCATAATTCACACAATTGACGGTAATCGAGATGCATGAATCTGAGTGTAGCCGGCAATTGCTTTGAACGCGGCACATCTCGTTGATGCAATAAAGTCAATGAACACTATAACGATATATTCGACGTATGAAATTAGTTCGCATATCTAATTGCATTAAAGTGCTCAAGGGAGATCCTTCATACGGTTAGTCAAATAATATATATATATATTATATATATATATATATATATATATATATATATATATATATATATGGATGGACACATGCATACATAGATACATACATACAAACATACACATACACACACAAATACATTCACATTTGATATCTGTATCGTAAACGTCAATTTAGTTTACTTTCAAATACTTGGATAATTACGGAAATCTTTCAATGCGATAACCCATACTATATTATATATATAAAAAAAAAAAAAAAAAAAAGAGAAAAGAAAAAAAAAAAAAGATATATCGTCGTGATTTTTGTTACTTTCTTTTTAAGGAAATTGTGATAATATAACTACGTACTTGCTCCGACGTAATAAAAAAATTATAGATAATTCATGAAGAGGCAATAAATAGAAGAGAAACAAAAAAAAAACAAAAAAAAAAAAAAAAAAAAAGGAATAAATAAATTAGAAAAAAAAAGGATATTCATCTATGAACTGCATTGGACTAAGTAAATTGTATTTCTTTTTGTATGTTTCGTTTGACAAAAAACAGTATGAAACGTCATTTATCGCCGTGATGTCATCCAAATATGTAATCATATACATATATTTACAAAGAAACTTTTTACACGATTATATATTCTTAATTCTTATCTCTTAAAAAAAAAAAAAAAAAAAAAAAAAGAGGGGGGCAAAAAAGGGAGAGAAAACGCGTTCGGAAAAAAAAAGAGAGAAAAAGAAAAAGAAAATTTACGCTTCTTAAGTATCTCAAGACGAGCTCGAATCGGAATAACTCGAATTGCTTCCTTTTCTTCGTACATTTTGTTGATGTCTGTGCGACGAAGGAGTTCGTGATCGAGATCTATGTCTCGAGGATGATTTTTTGCTTTTCTTAGATCTGTGGTTACGAGAGCTACTTGGACTGTCGTAACTGCTGTAATCAAAAAAGAAATCAAAAGTGTTTATCAGGTGTGTTTTGTTGTTACAATATATATATACAAGAGAAAGAGATTTTTTTTTATTTTTTTTTTTTGTTAACATATTTACCTTCTGTGAGAACTTTTCTTTTTCTTGTGCTTTTTATGAACTTTATGTCTTTCAATGCGGCTACGACTTCCACTACGACTTCTAGATCGTTGACGTGATCTTTTCCCACTTAAATCCGCGCTCTTCAATCGATCCATCAATGAATTACCACAAATTTTTACGTCTTCCGATTTTTCATCCTCCAATGAGGGCGATGGAACGGAATAAACCTCGTCGGAATCATCCTTTCTTATATTGGGTGTCGTCGAGGTAGGAATTTTGGAACTAGTTGAAGTTTGAATTTGACTTAAAAACATGGCCGCCTTTTTCTTTCGTTCCAATTGCAATTGTTTTTCCCTCGACGTGGCAGCCAATTTGTCACGAGCCGCGGCAACCAATTTATCCTTTATTCTATCTTCTACTTGTTGCTTGTGCCTTATCTCTAATTGACAATCTTCGAGTATGTCATCGGTAAGATCGACCAATTCCTTTTCTTCGCTTTTAGATTTCTTTATTTCTATTACCTTTGGCGTTTCTTTATCGGTATTCATTATTATTGGATTAGTTTGTTCGTTAAAATTTTGAGGTGAATTAGGTTTAGAATTAGTTTCTTTCTTTTCAACTTCAATTTCGTCATCACTTTCTTCCAATGGCAAGGCGTTTCTCTTTTCAATAATCACATTTTCACCTTCCTTTGGTTTCTTTATCGAAAACGATACTGTCGTTATCTGTTTACTACCCGTACTTTGTTTCGTCTTTGTGTCGCTCTTCTTCTTAGCCTGTATCATTTTCACACGCTTTTGTACTTCCTCCATTCTTTGCTGTTTCTTCTGTAATTCCTCCAATTTCTTTTGCTTCTCCTCTTGCGGCTCTTGCTTCTGTAATAATTCTTCTTCGGTCAATACCTTAGGATTTATTGCCCCTTCGTACATGGTCAATTTGTGAGCATAATAACCATGATACTGATGCGACAATTCGAGAAAATTAAATCTTGGATCACCTTTATTTTTTACTATAGCTTCAAAGTCTCGGCCATTTTTGGCTACATAACTCGCCATTTTGTCGATAATTATTTGAACATCTGCCGGTGGTACGATGAATGATGGTCTGCTCAATGTTTTTGGTGGTGTTGGTCCGTAAGGTACTAAAGAAGGTGTTTCTTTTGCTTGAGGTATTGGTGTTGTAGATTCTTCAGTAGAAACAACTGGTACGGCAGGTACTGGTAACTGTGGTGGAGATTGAATTTGACCATTTGGACCGTATATAACTGGACCATGCGAATATTGTAAAGGCGTTGCAGTATACGGAGTATAACTCTGTAAAAAAAAAAAAAAAAAAAAAAAAAAAAAGAAAAAAAAATAAGACTCATGTAACTCCATTTGATCGGAAATTTGAAATCTATGCAATATAAAATCTATAAAAGTTATAAGACGATTTACCTGCGGCACAATGGGCTGATAATATCCAGAAGTCGGCATTTGTTGAACACCAACATCTAATAACTGTGGTATTTTAGGTGGCGGTGGCTTTCCTGTGATTTTGTTTACAAGCATTGAATAAGCACAGTCCGCAGAGGGCTTATACTGTATGCTTGGTATGCTAGGAGCCTAGAAATAAGTAAACGTATCTTTTAGAAATATTAATAAACTATTTTGCGTATTTCTTTTATGGAAGATTATAAGTAGGAAAAATATATTATCACCTACAAAGATATTCCCTCCAAAGAAGAGATGGATAATTAATAAAAAACAGAGGCATATGTTTTGAAGACAGGAACGTGTATATATATTTTCCAGGTACAAAAAGGAAATGTTGGGATACGCTATTAAAATAAATTTATTTCTGTACTTTATGAAAATTTGCGATGATTGAAAAATTAGACTTCTCTTAACTTTACAAAATGGGATATTTAATTTCCTATTACGATTAATGCGGATGTATGTTTCTCTGAAGATAATGCTATATGATATGTTAATGAATCTCATATGAATAGAACTAATGGGTTTCGAATGAGTATAGATAAACAACAAAAGGGGGCGGGGGGCGGGGGGTAGGAGGATAGGTTCAATGCATACCAGAATCAGCCCTGGAAGCAGAAATATATGACACATAAATTAGTGTAGTAGAGTAACATTAACATTTCATCCTATGATCCATTTGTATTTTTGAAATCACCGTTAGAAAAGTAGATAGTTTCAGAGGTAAACCTGTGACTCTTTGGGAGGCTTCCAAATTTGGTAAATATCCCAATTGTTCTGAATCTTCTAACAGCTTAGGAAGCACTTTTTTTTATATGTCTTTTATAAAAAGTTATTATGTTTATATGACAATGTATATATTAGAAGAAAACATACCGCTTCTACTTTGGCAAATGATGGCGCTAGGCTTGGGTGAAGGTATGGTTGATCATCTTCATCTGATTCTTCCTCAGGTTCTGTCGTTAAAAAAACATATCGATGAGTACAAATTTATAATTGTAGCTTTTCTTTTTCACCAAAAATGAGTTACATTTGTCACGTGTAGATAAAAACCGACGTAGTAGTAACAGGAACTTGTGGCAATACTTACGTCAAGAAAAACTAAGTAGAATCAAAGTAGGTGTGGGTAATCATATCCTGCTTTATGTTGCTTCAATTACTTCAACTCAATAATGTCAACTTTGATAATGTTACTACAAGATGCTGCTTTATAGAAAATAGTATGCATACCAGATTCTTCTTTTTCAGGTTGTTTTTCAGGATTATATTTTCCAGTCTTGATAGCTTCCAGCACAAACTTGTAATACGGATGTAGCGGTTCATCTATCGATAAGAACGAAAATTGTGGATTGTTTGCTTGTTTCGCCTTTAGAAGAATCTCCATTTGGCCCCCTTGACGACTAATAAATAGTGCTGTTTTTGTAATAATTGCATTTAACTTCTGCGTTTCAGGCTGAAAAAAAAATACATTATCAATTAATTTTTTTGATATCCAAATAAATTCATAGATAAACTCTTGATAAATAATATTATTATAATTATCTTACCACTGTCATGCCTTCTGGTATTTCAAGATCTGGTGGCGGTACAAAAGCTTGATCCTCTTCTTGCGATCCTTCTGATTGTTTTGGACTCTGTGAGTCTTCGCACGCTAACTTGGAATTGTTTTCATCTTCGTTATAATTATATGCTACTTGGGTATAAGAATTTTCTGAGTCCAATGCTTGATGCAATCTTTTCATCTCTTCTTCTAATACAAAGGAAAAAAAAGGTAATAGAATAAAATCATTAATAATTTTAAATTCTATTAGTTCAATTTAGAAAAATCAATTAATTTAGAATTTTTTAAATATCTATATGAATCGTACCATGATACATAGAATCTTCGGCGTCATTATTATACAAGGATCGGTATCTTTCTTCGTCACAGAGCTGTTCAACTTTAAGTTCATCCTCTGTGAGTATTATCCGTTGATCAAAACCACCTGCTGGTGGCTCATGAATCCTTAAATCCCCCAGTGCTCCACGTCCATCGTATCTATACACATACAATGTACAAATTAGAGAAGGAAAATGATATTTTTTTTGTTTGTTTTTTTGTTGTTGTTTTTTTTTTGTATAGTTTATTTTTTTTTCTTTTACGTAAATTCTATTAATCCCGCATCTGAAAAATAATTTATGAAGAGAATCCCACCACAAAGAGTTTCCTCTGAAATAAAATATAGTCATACAAAGTTGAATGACATGTCTTTATGTGTAATTTATTCCTTTGCATAACTTTCAAATTAAATACACTATATACAATGTATTTTGTAAAATAAATTTACTACGCATTAATATTATTATACTGTTTGTTTCTGAAGATGCAATTTGCTGCTTTTTCTCTTACAAGATATTAACATTTATGATAATTTCATAAATGCTTACATATTAATTATAAATAATTTTATGACATTCATAGATTATTTCTTTTTCGTCATTATATTTTATACTACTTAGATGTATAAAACATAGAACCATATATTGAATTATGTCAAACATTTTGTCCTTTTCATCTAATCAAATATTATATATATACGTATATATATATATATTGCATTACGTTTAGTCAAATTACATGAATAATTATTATATGGTCCATAATTGTATGTCCAGTTTAATATTTAACAAAAGCTGTGTCATTTCACAATGAAATTAGTTGTAATATTCCTAGATATAAGTAGCGATATGGAAAATAAAATGATCTAATTGCAATGAGCATACATATTGCATTATTCAGATAAAAAGCAAGAGTAGTTTGAGTATCGATTGTTGAATTGTAACAAAAGAAAAAAAAAAAAAAAAAAAAAAAAAAAAAAAAAAAAAAAAAAAAAAAAAAAAAAAAGAAAAAAGAAAAAAAGAAAAAGAAAAAAAACCATAGAACATTAAGCAGCACCAAATTAAAGAAAAAAAAAAAAAAAAAAAAAAAAAAGAGAAAAGAAAAAAAAGAAAAAGAAAAGTTGAAAAAATTGAAGATACAAGTTTATAGAAGATCACTTAAAAATTCTCACAAAATGTTCGCTTGGATGATGAAGAATACAGTTTGAGAATAAATGCTGCAATGCCTTCGACATGTGCGTACACAATCCACCTTGCCTAAATTTCAAGAAATATTTATAATATAAATGCAAAACAAAATATTTTATATAATTTAATATATGTTTCCAGTTACATCTTCGACACTGTATGCTGTACATTCAATATTTATACACAAATTGTATGCAGAGTATATACATAAACTGTAGAATGTATATCGCAACATAGAGAAATTATCAAAGTTGCATAATGCATTTGGTAATTCGTACATTGTTGCCAGCACAGCTGAATCTAAGACGCTAATACATACCATGCTGAACGGTCATAAATACCTATAACCGTCAGCTTGCCATTTGTCTCTCTACGCTGTGTCTCACCTTGCTGCTGCACAGATGGTCAGCCATAAGCGCCAAGCCACAAGAGCACCTTATTCTGCGCCCGTGCAGAGCGCATATCGCGCTTCAACACTGCGCGTTCATACGGCCAACACCTGCAGAAACCTTAAACAGTCTCCAGATTGCTTATCTGCACATTAACTATTTGCAGTAACCATAACGGTACTGTCTCTTCGAGTGTCATTCACTGCAGTTTTTTTTTTTTTTTTTTTATTTTTTTACTTTTATCTATATTTTTTTTTTTTTTTTTCGAATCTGAGATCATTCTTCTAAACGTTACATATATGATGTGTTTATGCAAGAATAAATATCCTAGATCATAAATTTTTTCTAGGTTAGGGAAACGGACCTGTCTATCTTCAATGTGTTATCGCCCATCCATGGTATCAAATGCTTCCCCTGATCAATCATTTTCGCCTTGTCATCGTCTCGAAATAATTTGCAGCTATATCCGAACACCAACAGCTCCTGTGGTTCCTCTTCACCATTTTTTTTACGCAGAATCCCTGAATCAACCATCCATCGTTGTCCCTTCGACGACGCCATTTTCTGTCTACATGCGGCTATGAGAAGGGAGGAGGAAGCGTTTGCCCAAAGTCCACCATAATCAAATGATGAAACAACAGCAACATGCCGTCATCGTAAATAGGCAAATGTTATAGCGGATTGGTCCGTTCGATGGGTCTATAGAAATATTTAATCGTTATTAGCGCCACTTTTATATATATTAAAAACGGTAAAGCTAATAAATACATGCTGATTGGTCAACGCCCATATGGCGCTCCAGTCACGCGATATTATGACGCTATAATCGCGATATCAGTTTGACCATCTAGCAGCGTTATCAATTTAAAAAATATCGAATAGAAGATTAGCTAAACACTAACATGAATTTTTAATTACTTATGAGAACGTTACGTAAGAAATATATTTATTTAAGATTAAAAATGACTATTTATACGATACTAGTAACTAACAAAATATTTACATTTGCATTAAGAGTTGGCTAAGCTGATCGCTAAATAAACTGTGGCGATTTCGTCGCGACTGTTACACCTTCTACGGCAAGAAACATAACTAACATAGTTTCGGCATCAAATGTTACACGCGGGAAACCAATCAAACAAAGTAAAAAACGTCGATAACAAAGAAGACGAAAAAAATGCCAGGAATACAAAGAAAATCATATATTTTTAAATAAATTTTTTAATAATAAATTTTTAAATAATATTGTTACTTGAGATGAGAAAACTTTCTTTCTACATAATGAGTTGTCAATGATAAATACATCAAATATCGATGTTTGCGCCATCTGGTATAACAGAACAAAATTAAAATCGACTCTAAAAAGAAACGATTTACTTTCTTATTGAATGAAGGTTGGTGGACGTGATTATCGTTGGCGTCAATTGGGATACGTCGTGTGATTTACGTTTAAATTCATTTACGATATTAATGATATTTCATTTTTACTTACAATGTCAAAGGCAAAAGTTTCCGCAGAATGGAGAAAACGCGTGAAATCGGAATACATGCGATTGAGACAAATAAAAAGGTATAAACGTGCGGACGAAGTGAAAATTGCTTGGAATCAGAATCGTAAGGTTATGACTGGTAAGTATACATTTAAAAATCTATAATGATTTGAATATTTCTTTCATATCTTTATCATTCTTTTATCTTTATTTATTTATACTACTTATTTCTATTATTATTATTATTTAATTTGAAAGTTTTCGGAAATATTAAAAGAAAAAAAAAATTATGTTTATTTTTTAATTCCATAACAATGAATTATGTTCAGTAATAAAAATATATATCATGCATGATATTATGATCGTATATATATATATATATAAATAAAAGTTTTCTCAATTAGAATTACTTATAACCGAACAAAAACGATGGGCGGATGGAAAAGCAATGTGGCTTGCTATGCATGACATTCCACCTCATGTATCTTGCATGAAAAAAGCAGAGGTGACCAGTTCAGACGGAGAAGTACAAACATGTCCTGTTAAAATAATAAATGCAGTTACTCCTATACCTACGATGTATACATGGGCACCAATACAACAGAATTTTATGGTAGAAGATGAAACTGTTTTACACAATATTCCTTACATGGGAGATGAAATCTTAGATCAGGATGGAACTTTTATCGAAGAACTTATTAAGAATTATGACGGAAAGGTAATTGAAAATATTAAAAAATTATTATTAATATATTATATGTTTTTAATATTATATTACATGATTATTATTATTTTATTATTATTTTAGGTACACGGAGATAGGGTATCTGGTTTTATGGATGATTCTATTTTTGTCGATTTAGTAAATGCTTTGGCTAATTATGAAAAGGACGATAAAGAAAAGGAACATACTAAAAAAGGGAAAGAATCTAAAGAAAAAGAAGATCAAAAGGATGATGACAAAGATAATAAGGACGATGATAAAGGAGAAATATTATTGGAAAAGCCAATAGAAGATTCAAAAGTTCAAGCTACACCATTCCCATCTATGCACATATTTAATGTATAAATTATTAAAAATTTTACAAAATGATATTATAATAATAATTCAAGTTTAAATATTATTAATAGATTTTTCTTATATTAGGCAATATCTAGCATGTTTCCCGATAAAGGCAGACCCGAAGAATTAAAAGAAAAATACATTGAACTAACAGAAAGATCAGATCCAAATGTATTGCCACCAGAATGTACTCCTAACATCGATGGTGTAAATGCAAAAAGTGTACCAAGAGAGCAGACTATGCATTCGTTTCACACGCTCTTCTGTAGAAGATGCTTCAAATATGACTGCTTCTTACATCGTGAGTAGACAGCTAAGTTTAATGTTATTACTCTCAAGTTGTATCTTGTCAGGCAACATCGCAATAGGAATAATGAAAGACATTGCAAGGATATACGAATTATCTCCTTATACGCACAGCCTCTAGATACAACTTATTGATGATTTACATTCTATATGACAACGAAGCTGGATGTATATTAATTACAATAATTTGTGATTCCTGATTTATCGTAGCAGCCAGGGGGACCTCGCCGCAAGGTAAAGAACAACATTGCATACAAACGAGCGCATTCGATCGAACGCTTTTTTTTGTTTAGCACGGAGGCATCGCCAAGGGTTCATCCACAATCGTATTTCATTCGTCGTTCATCGCTCTGTCTACTAAATTTCTCTCCATTCGCGATATAATAGATTAGGATTATGTTTTAATTTTAAAGTTTTACCATTAATTTTAGGTCTTCAAGTCTGCCATCCAGGACCAAATTTACTCAAACGAAAAGGTCCGGACTTGAGGCCATTTTCTGAACCATGTGGAACAGAATGTTATATGCATTTGGTAAGATAAGTTATATTCGATAAAACATCAAAGTACATTTTCATATTATTTCATCAATTTAGGAAGGTATGAAAGAAAAACTTGCTGCTCAAGCAGCCGATATAAAAGAAGATGAAGGAGATGAGAAAAGAGGTGGTCCTAGAAAAGTAAGAAAACAGGCAAGCGTTGATTCTGGAAATGAAGCAAGCAGCGAAGACAGCAATGACAGTAATAAATACAGTCAAGGTGGTTGCTGTCAAGGTAAAATAATATCTTAGAAGTGTTAACTTGTAAAAAAAAAAAAAAAAAAAAAAAAAAAATTTCCAAACAGATTTCAAAGAAAAATATTATCCAACAGATTTCAAGCAAAATGTTAATAAAGAAGTTAAGCCCGAAGAAATGATGGAGGATCAAGCTCAGCCAGAAAATCAAGCTCCTTTCACTTTGTTAGGTCTTGATAAACGAATCAAGACGGAAAGCGAGTTATCATGGACTGGCTCTGAACAAAGTCTTTTCAGAGCATTACATAAAGCTTTTCCTGGTAATCCATGCGCATTAGCACAAATTATGTTAACTAAAACTTGTCAGGAGGTATATCAATTCGCTCAAAAGGAAGCTTCAGACATTCCAGCTGTAGAACATTTAAAAGATTTTACACCGCCACGAAAGAAGAAGAAGAAACATAGACTTTGGTCGATGCATTGCAGAAAGATACAATTGAAAAAAGATTCTGGTAATTAATTTCTCATTAATAATCAAAAAAAAAAAAAAATAAAAAATAAAAAATAATAAATAAAAAATAAAAGAAAAAAAAAGAAAAGCAAAATTAAAAATAAATAGATAAATAAAAAAAAAAAAAATAAAAAAAAAGTAAAGAAAAGAAAAGAAAAGAAAAAGAAAACAACAAGACATCCTAGTCAGAAGTGTCTCCTCGCGCGTTCTTTTTTTTGTTTGCGTTTACCATATGTATAAAAATCATACTCACAGGTGCCAATCATGTCCACAACTTCGCACCGTGCGATCATCCTGGCCGTCAATGCGATAATTCTTGTCCATGTATACAGGCGCAAAACTTCTGCGAAAAGTTCTGTCAATGCAGCAGTGAATGTCAGAATCGATTTCCTGGCTGTAGATGCAAAGCTCAATGTAATACAAAACAATGTCCTTGCTATCTAGCAGTAAGGGAATGTGATCCTGATCTATGTCAAACGTGCGGAGCAGATCAATTTCAAATTACTAAAATATCATGTAAAAATGTCAGCGTTCAACGTGGCCTTCGTACGTATTAATAAGTTTTTTTTTTCTTTTTTTTTTTTTTTTTTTTTTTTTTTTTTTTTTTTTTTTTTTTTTTTTTTTTTTTGTCAAAATATCCAAAAGTATGTGTCGATCGAATGTCAAAACAAATCTACAAAGATATATGTATACATATATATATATGTATATATGCATATATGTATATATGTATTTTTTTTTTTTTATATATCTTTTCTTATTATTTCTATTTAGATAAACATCTTTTAATGGCACCATCCGATGTGGCCGGTTGGGGAATCTTTTTAAAAGAATCCGCAGCCAAGAATGAATTCATTTCTGAATATTGTGGAGAAATTATAAGCCAAGATGAAGCCGATAGAAGGGGAAAAGTATATGACAAATATATGTGCAGTTTTCTATTCAATTTAAACAATGGTATTTTTGTCTTAGGTCCTTTTAGAAATAATCGTACAGAGAGAAAAAAAAAATGTATATTAACATGGTATATATGTTATTCCTTTTGACAGACTTTGTAGTCGATGCAACGCGCAAAGGAAACAAAATAAGATTCGCAAATCATTCGATAAATCCTAATTGTTATGCCAAAGTTATGATGGTTAATGGCGATCATAGAATAGGAATTTTTGCAAAAAGAGCTATTCAGCCTGGGGAAGAATTGTTTTTTGATTACAGGTTAATATATCTTTGTAGTTTAATTTTACAAAAAAAAAAAAAAAAAAATTTTATAACATGTAAAAGTATAATAATGTAAATATATTTATTTATTTATTTATTACAGATATGGTCCGACTGAACAACTCAAATTTGTTGGTATTGAACGTGAAATGGAATTTCTTTAAAATGAAACGATTTTCTTTAAAACTTAGATACATGCATCTATAAGTTCCTTTTTTAATTCAAGTTAATTGAAAAACAAAAAAGAAAAGAGAGAAACTTATTCCATTATTATAAAAATCGACAGTATTTGAATATCGATAGACTATCAATCTGCCTTGTGCATATCAAATAGTTTTTGAAATGAAGAAAAAAATACATGTATAAAGATCTTTGAACATGTGTGTTTGTTTGTGTCTGTGTGTATGGATATGCGCTCGCTTATGTATGAATGGAAATAAGTATGTGATTTCTTAAGGCACCTTTTTCAAATAAAAGTTTCATCGTTTCAGATCTGGTATGTTTCATATATACGCTTTTCTCTCTCTCTCACTCTCTCTTTTTCTTTCTCTCTTTCTCTCTCTTTCTTTCTCTCTGTCTCTCTCTCTTTTTCTCTGTCTCTATTAAGAATGTATACTGAAATAATTCATTTTTAATCTTAAAATTAACGATTTGTTCGTTCTCAAAAGTATTTTTTATATTTATAAATTTTACAAAATAAAAAATAATATTATTATAAAAATATAATAAATTAAAAAAAAAAAAAAAAAAAAAAAAAAAAAAATAAAAGAGAAGAAAAAGTAAAATTAATCTTTAAAAGTCTGTCATCGATGAAATTTCGTTCTAAAATTATTATATTACAACGTAAATATATTTATCCTAAATAAAAATTTATTAATTCATAATTTTTTTTTTTTTTTTTTTTTTTTTTTTTTTTTAAGATTAAATCGCATTTCTTTCATCGTAAATGTATATTTATTTATGATATAAGAAAAAGAGAAAAAAAAAATACCTATTATTTGTTAAAGTCTCCGATATTATTGACGTGTTATATTAATTTTTATTTTTGATTTTCTTTTTGTTTTTTTTTTGTTTTTTTTTTTTTTTTATTTAATTGCTAATTGCTTTTCAACGGTTGAATTCAAATGCGTGAAATTCGCGCGCAGCTTTCAAACGTCAGAGTTAGTTCGAAGGGATTCTAGAAGAGAGCTTCCAACGAACTCGCGAAGCAATTCAGCCACCAGTTGCGGACTTCGCAGCCGCGAAAACGGATCGGGAGATTTTTCGATTACGAAGATTTACTTGAAAGAGAGAAAAAAAAAAAGAAAAAAAGAAAAATCACATTTTAAATGACACGAAAAAGAATATAATAAATAAGTAAATAAATATAAATAATAAAAAAAAAGGGGGAAAAGTGAAGAAAAATTCTCGATCGTTATGAGGATAAATAATAAAAATTTATCGAAAGATTCGATTAAACGTTTATTCGGAAGAATTCGACTTTTCTGTTCGTTTTTGCAAGATCTCGATCGGTAAAGTTCAATATTTATATTCGTAAGTAAGTAAAAAAAGAAATAACAATAGATCAACATCTTTTTCTTCGATTATTCGTGATTGAATCCAATACGATCATGTTACGAATAAGGAAGCAGCAATAGAATTTGAAAAGACGTCTCGAAGATCGTCGCCGTCGAATCTTTTATAAAATAAGGTTATTTGGATTGAAGCCAGATTTTTCTTTTCTTTTTCTTTTTTTTTCTCCTGTTTTTTTTTTTTTTTTGGTTTGTTTCTTTAACGGAAGAAAGACACTTCGTACGGACGACATGGAGGAAGAAGGTAATTAATTAAATATATTTTAATTTGAAAATAATGAAGCTCTTTCGTTGATTACAACATGAATTTCTTTCTTTTGATATTTTTTCTGGTTTTTTTTTCTTTTTTTCTTTTTTTCTTTTTTTTTTTTTTTTTTTAAGAAACGTTCGAATCGATCGATAAGGTAAAACTTTCGAAATAAAAGACGATCGACGATGAGTTTCGCCATCTTCCTTTCTTTCTTATTTTTTTTTTTTTTATTTCCGTCCGTTGTTTTTCTTTTTTTTTTATTATCGGTTTCGTAATAAATAATATCCGCCATGATTACTATACGACCAATAAATTTGAAGGAAGTATTTCCTGCTTCTTTCCAAACAGGATGAAAATATCGGTTTGGAGATAAAACAAAAACAAAAGAAATTGAAATTTTTAAATAATAATGGAAATAGAGGATTAGTTGGATTAAAAAAAAAAATAAAAGAGAAAAAAAAATAAAAAAAAATAAAAACAAAAATAATAAAAAGAAAAGGAAAGAAAGAGATAAGTGTACGACTCGCCATGATGGAAAGATTTGAGCGGGAATAATGGCCGTTATAATCACTTTCAATGCACAGATGTATTATTATAGAAATAAACACCTCTCTCTCTCTCTCTCTTTCTCTCTCTCTCTCTCTCTCTCTCTCTCTCTCTTTCTTTGAGTCGTCAGAGACGTTTTGTGATTCCAACCAATGTCTTCATCTCTTCGAGCAACGAATGTAAATATACAGAATGAATCATACGTATAAACGGATCAGTCGATCGTTCAATTAAACGATATCGATCAATTTCGATCGATTTTGATTAAGAAATGATGACATTAATACATATTTGTTTTTTTTTATAATGTTTATTATATTTAACAAATTTTTTTTATGAAAAATTTTTGCCTGAAATTTTTCTTTATTAATTGTGCTTTTCTCTCTCTCTCTCTCTCTCTCTCTCTCTCTCTCTCTCTCTCTCTCTCTCTCTTTCTCTATTTTTTTTTTTACTTTTTATCAGAATTTTAATCATAGAACATAATTCGATTACTCGATCCTTAATTGAAAAAATAATTAAGAAATTGTTTATAAATTATTTATCAAATATTAATAGTTTATAAATATTTAACATTTTTTTTTTTGTATAAAAGATTCTTTCGAAGTTATTCGTTTGTTCGTAAAAATAATTAATCATAAAATTGATAAAACAATTTTCGATCGTTTTTATCGATAATGAAGAAATTATTAAATTATTTATAAATATTTCTCCATTAAATTTAATATATTATTCATGAGAATATTCTTGTAAATTTATCGAAAAATTCTCTAAATTATTCGTAATCAATTGTATTGCTTTTTTTTTTTTTTATTATAATTTTAATCTCAAAATGGAACACTTCGAATATTAATAAAAAAAAAAAAAAAAATTAAATTTTCTGATTTTAATTTTCTGATAATAATTAACATTAATAATACAAATTAGAGAAAATTAATAAACAATTTTTCTATGTATCTTAATACGAACATATTAATAATGATGATATTAATGATAATAATAATAATAATAATAATAATAATAATAATAATAATAATAAAATAATAATAATAATAATAATAATAATAATAATAATAATAATAATGATGATAATAATAATAAAAATGACACGAAGAAGCGTGAGCAAGAGCACTCATTCTGTTTTACACACCCATTCAAATTAAAACGTATGGAGTGGAGTTTAATGCGGTTTATCCATTATTACACACATACGGCTTTACATACATGTACACAGGTATGAACTGGAAGCACATAACCAGACAAAGAAAACGCAATACGGATAAGAAGTACTTGTATCGTACGTGACTTGTTCTACGATTAAATTAACAGCGAACAGTCGAATGAATCGACTTTTTTTTCCATGGCTCTGAAATGAAATTTCTCATCTTAATGAAAACTAAAAATGTTCCTTTTCTCTACTTCTTCCTCTTTATTTTTTTTTATTTTTTTATTTTTTTATTTGTTCTCATTTTCTTTAGGACCAAAGACAAATACGTAACGAACGATGTACAATTCATATGAACGTCGATGATTGGCTTTAATGATTCGCGTGATATTCATTGGTTGATACAATCGGTTTTGTTCGGCAATGTTCGACAATCTTTGTATCGTATAATATAATTTTTTTTCATAGAATAAAAATCAATTCGACAATCTTTGTATCTTATAAAATTATTTTATTTCATATGATAAAAATTAAATGTTTTCCGTATTGTCAAAAGTGTTAAGAAAAAATGAATTTAATTACGGGAATAATTTGTTAAGAATAAGTAATTTGTTTTTTTTGAATAATTTTCTTTTACTTATCTTTTTTCTCTCCCGAAACAATTTAAGGTTAGTTGTAATTTTATTACATGTAAAAGTACATGTATGTGCAAGTATATTTAATGATGTGAGACACATACATGTGTAGACGAAATTTAATAATATTGATTATTTTCTAATATTTCTTTCATTAATAACGATAATTATTTATTCTTCAGTGTTAAAATGTGATATAAAAATATTACCCAAAGGAATAGGTATTTAAAGTGTCGAAGTGTTTCTTTTCTCTATCTTTCTTTTCTTTTTATTTTCTTTTCTTCTTTTTTTTTTCCTCTTCCTTTTCTTTTCTATCAAGTTTTCTCGACGAGATTCAAAGAGTGTCATTTGAAATGAAGACAAATGCACCAAGAGAACGATTTTCTAATCCTTCCTGTCTTTTCCAAACGTTACGTTTATTCGACATTTTCTTTTTATTAAAACGAATAATGGAAAGAAAAACGGACAGTAAATTAAAAAGATTTCAAAAATACGATCCTCCCAATTGAAGAAAATTAACAATAATATTAATAATTCAAACGACTATTACTGAACATCTTTTTCTTTTTTGTTTTTCGTTTTCTTTATCGAATATTTTAAATTAGGTTAATATATATTCTTATTTAAAAAGAAAAAAAAAATGAACGAAACGTAGATTATGTGATCGTTAGAAATTTAATATCCTTTCATTGAAAAATCATAAAATTTCTAATATTAAATTAATAATAATAATATTAATAAAACTTATATGTGTGTATACATAATATCTTGGTTGGTTTTGAATTTTTCGAATATTTTTGATTAATAACAAATTTATTACGTTCTAATAAATGTAAAATTTAGATATTAATCTATGATATAAACGTTGTCGTCGTTTAATATCAAAACAAAACGGACAAAAGGTTAGAATATCATTAACAGTTATAACTTCTCAAACTATTTATTTACTTGATCAAACGTTTCGTACAAAGATAAATACGTCGTAGATATTTGAATGTAATCATATATTTGTTAATTGTATTTAGTTTACTTTAGCATTACTTTCTCATGAGCAAATCGTTTCCCATAAACACGTACTGGTTTAGATAACAAGAGATATAACGATCGAAACGTTAGTAAATATATACATAGGTATGTACTTACGTACAAACAATTAAGCGAACTCAAAGGCCAATTCATCTTGTCCATAGCATTTCAAAGGTATTCAAAGCTTAAAAATTTCAACGTCAACATTACAAATTTCTGAAAGCCAATTGATTAATTGAATAATCGTTGATTAATCTGTCTTTGATAAAATCGATTAATATTTATTTTAAACAAACTTAAATATTTATGTTTCGATTTTAATGTTGAGATTTGTTAACTTTATATGATCTAATTTAACTTATACTTTTATATAACATGATTTTATATATATATATATATATATATAATATATATATATATATATATATATATATAGAAATGAAACTTACGTACATACATCCATACATCCGAGAAAGAATTATACAGGGTGGATCAAAAGTTCTTAGACTTTGTAGTTTTATAATACGATTTGAACAAAAGAGAATTGACCTAAAAAAAATGTTGAAACAGAATAATTACTTTTTAATATCATTTAAGAAGTTTTATAATATGAAAGATATATTATCTGAATAATTTTGTTATTAATGATTAAAATTTCGTACTGTACATAGTATGAGTATTTTTATTATTATTATTATTATTATTATTATTATTATTATTATTATTATTATTATTATTATTACTATTATTAAATATAAGTTATACTTATTAAACGTCAATCTTTGAATATAATCTATAACCTAAAAATTAATTTTATAGATAAAAAAAAAAAAATAAAAATAAAAAAGAAAGAAAAGGAAGATAAAACTATATTACTATTGTAAATAAAAAAGACAATATATATATATGATATAAAAATCGAATGAACAATAACAATAACTTTCAAGAGATAAAGAAAATTAGAACGAAAATCTTTATCGTGATAGGTCAACTGACCTATAGTTTTCTTATTTTTTATTTATTTATTTATTTATTTTTCCTCTTATTCTTTTTCTTTTCTTACTTTTTTATGAGAAGCAGTGAGAGAGAGCCAGAGAGAGAGAGAGAGAGAGAGAGAGAGAGAGAGAGAGAGAGAGAGAGAGAGAGAGAGAGAGAGAGAGAGAGAGAGAGAGAGATAGAGACAGAGAGAGAGAGAGAGAGCGAGAGAGAGACAGAGATAGAGACAGAGAGAGAGAGTGAGAGAATCGTACTGAAGTCAGAATAACGGTTCGTTTCCGTGACGTAGTTACCTGCGCGTTTAGTAACAGACGAAGGAGAATGTCATGACGAACGGCACGACACAATAGCCGATTGCCTGTCGATAACAAACTCTCGTCGACATCTCCTGTCAATCGGAACCTCTTACCCGTGTCACCTAACAGAGCGAGAAAAAGAGAGAGAGACAGAGAAAGAGAGAGAGAGAGAGTGAGAGAGAAACATACAGACAGACACAAAAGAGATCGAGTTTTGCCAATCTTCGAGATTTGTTTCTGAACTTTCCAGGAAGAGAGAGATAGAATCTGAAAGAGGAAGAGAGAGAGAGAGAGAGAGAGAGAGAGAGAAAGAGAAAGAGAGAGACAAAAATG